GACCATAGTTGGCTAACGATGCTTTTGGGAAACGCACCCCTGATCGTCAGGTTCCTGAGAGGAGCGAGGAGACTGAATCCTCCTTGCCCTCCCCTCGTGCCCTCTTGGGACCTCTCAGTGGTTTTAAATGCCCTGCAGAGTGATCCCTTTGAGCCTTTGCAATCAGTTGAGTTTAAGTTCCTGTCTATGAAGACAGCACTCCTGGTTGCACTGGCCTCCATCAAGAGGGTAGGGGACCTGCACACATTCTCCATTGACGAAGCGTGCCTGGAATTTGGGCTGGGTCACTCTTGTTCTTGCACATGTTCCTGAGACCCCGGCTTGGATATGTGCCCAAGGTTCCCACTACTCCCTTCCGGGACCAGGTGGCGAACCTGCAAGCCTGCCCCTGGAGGAGGCAGACCCAGCCTTGGCACTGCTCTGTCCAGTACATGCTCTCCATGCCTATATAGACAGAACACAGTGTTTCAGGACCTCAGATCAGCTCTTTGTCTGTTATGGTGGGAAGCTGAAGGGAAAGCCTATCTCCAAGCAAAGGCTGTCTCACTGGATAGTGGGAACATGACATCATGACTTTTGCGTAAACATACACGCCACTTTCGAGTCAGGTGGCGTGTTATCTCTACACATTTTGAACTATCCGCGTGTATCCACGTGTATGCGTTTATGTCTACGCCATTATTGTCCGTGTCATTCCACGTGTCTGTACACGCAGTCAAATCTCCAGTCATAAATGCCATTAACCCCAGTGACGGTTAAGTTTAGGGATGGGGTTGAGGTAAGTCATATCTTTTTTTTACCTAGGATGGTAAGGGAACAGTCATAAATGCCATTAACCCCAGTGACGGTTAGGTTTAGGGACGGGGTTGAGGTAAGTCATATATTTATATAACGTTAAGTCAACGGGGTTCATAAACACGCTGAAAGGCGATTATGCGTCTTGATAGCACGCCAAAAATGGAAATACGAATTGGCGTGTCATACACACGCTACTTCATGAGATCAGTCTGATAGTGGACACCATTGCTTTGGCATACCAGCAGCAAGGTCGACCGTACCCCCTTGGTGTGACATCGCAATCCACCTGGAGTGTGGCTTCCTCTTCGGCTCTAGCGCCTGGCGCCTCGCTAATTGACATCTGCAGAGCTGCAGGCTGGGCGACGCCCAACACATTCGCCAGTTTTTATCTCCGAGTGGAGCCTGTATCGTCTCATGTACTTCAACCAGCTAGCACTGGACCTGGTCAGGTGTCTTCCCAAAAGCCCTGAGTTCCTCTAGCACCCCTGACATCAGCGCCAGTGTCTATTGCCTATGCGTCGGCTAGGTGTCTCCATGTGCATGGTTCCTCCCCTGAGCGACCCCCACATGTTTATTTCCACTGTAAGCCTCTCTGAGCATGTGTCTTTCCCTTGGCAAGCCACCTTGCCACCCCTGGGGTTGAAATATTCCACCTGCAGCTGGACACCCCAGTGTTATCCATATGCATCCGTCCAGACCATATGAGTATTCTCTAAATGCTGCTAAATCCTGTGCTAAAAAGGAGTCGTTCGCCCGTGCCAATCTCACGACAGGGATGTCAGATTTACGCAGGGCACTGGAAGACAGCCGAGAAGGTGGTGTGATTAGACTGGTAAGTGGTAACCCCATTCGTCGTCATCCGATGGAACTCGGAGTCTTCCTGCTACTTTCCGTTTTCCTTTTGCTGGCGTTGTCCTTTTATACCCACGAGGTAAGGCGGAGATACGCTATGCATATTCCGCAGACCCATGGCATTTCTTTGCCATTGGCTCGTTTTGTATACTCGAAGTTGATAAGCTTTCTAAGCGAAACCCCATTCAACGTCATCCGACGGTTATTCAACTATGCCAAGATAAACACTGTTTTCCATTCTATGCCACCTTTAATATTGGTCAAAAGCTAATTCATGTTAAGATATTGTGAACACTAGACTTTTTCACAGTATGGTACACTAGAAGAACAATCAAACCGTATCTTAGCTTAATGGTAATAATGACAGTAATGAACACTTTCATCCACATGTTGATAGTGAACACAAAAGAAATGGGATGCATATATTTCACATATGATGATTTAGAAGATTATAATAGCTTAAATTATAAACAATGCAGTTTTTATGCATCTTTAAAGTGTCCGTCATGAAAAATTTAACCCGAAGCTCTTCTACTGAATGTCATAATTGATTTGGTTTCTGCCATTAGAAAACACTTCCCTATTGAGTGGATGTGGGTGATTTTTTCCTTAATTTTCTAAAGCTTTATTCCTGAAAGCTTGATATTAAGAGCTACAGTATGATTGCAAATTTCCCCATTTCCCATCAGCATTAATTCATTATGAATAATGCCACAAACCACCTCTAATATAACACAAGTCAAGTCACATTTTTTTATAATACAGATTGTATGAAAGCAGCTTCACAGTGATAACATGAAAAATAATACAACAAAGTGAATGAATGAACATTATTGTCATTATGTTCGCACATAACAAAATTTTGTATGAGACTCTCGGCTTTAAAGGGTTTTCACCCAAAAATGAAAATTCTATCATCATTTACTCACCCTCAAGTTGTTCCAAACCTCTATGTGTTTATTTGTTCTGCTGTACACAAAGGAAGATATTTGGAAGTATGTTTTAATTAAACAGATCTCAATCCCCATTGACTACCATAGTATGTATTTTTTCCTACTATGGAAGTCAATGGGGATTGAGATCTGTTTGAACATGCTGGTGTGTTTTGACATATACAAAAAACAATAATATTACGTTCGTGGTGTTCGCGGGTCAATTTGACCCTCATAGGCAGCCATTCAAAAGCAACTGTACAGACACAACATAAAGACATTTATTTTATGTATGTCGAGGAACTACAACTCCAGTTCTAATGTGCAATAGGGGTTGAACGACTTCAGATTTTTTGAAGTCGACTGTTATGACATCAAAGTCGAGTTGACGTCGACTAGTCGCTGACGTCATTCATAAAAACACAAGAGATGTGACAGGTTTGCAACATGCCACAACTTGCAATTAATTAACAGAAAATTATACAGACGCTGACAGCTCATAATAGGGCCGTTTACACCTGGACACTTCATGCGTTTTTACTGACCTGATTTATCAAAACGATTTCATTTACACCTGGTCATAAACGCAACATTTATAGAAATCGAACTTTACCTCATCCATGACAACTAATTTTCGATTCCCGTCTGACTGATTTATCCACGGTGGAGTTGAAAACAACAGTTCCCATCATTCCGCTTTCCTCCACAGCGTCATCAAGCAAAGCCGTTGTTGTTGTTTTGAATGTAGCGCCCTCTAGCGGAATAAAATCTTAGGTAAGTCGCCTAAAGTTTGCTTATTTACATTTCTTGTCTGGTCAGACAGTGTTTACATGAAGGCAAGGCTTTATTTGCTCGTATACTATAAATGAATTCAGCTGCTTTGCGCTCTTATTAAAATTACCCAGTTTACAGTAGGCCTAAGTTGTAACCACATATCCACAAGTTTCCTACGCCCCATGAGGCCTTGCGTCAAAAGTGGGCGCGACTTCCGGTTGGAAGTAAACAATCGCGATTTGACATGCTTGACACTCGTTCATTCAACAGTTGACAGTCAAGTTATAGCGATCCAAACTAGCTAACGATGTGGGAACACAACCTCAATCAAATTAAAAAGGGTGAAATAACAGTACCTTTACCCTCCGCAGTAGTTGATTGGGAGTATTATAATAACATTATTAATAATCAATACTCATCAAGGCATGGTGACAGACAGTTGTGTGAGCTGACAAACAATTAAAATAAAAAATACACACTTAGTCATTGTGCTTTGGAGTTTATTAAAAATTATAAATGAATGTGCTACTTGAATACATTAACTGGCACATTTGGTATTCTGTCAACACAGGCTTTGATCCTGAGTTTAGGTGTAACATCAGTAGCGAACAGCCAATCACATTGTGATAGAGTTTATAGAACATTAAGAATTTAAACAAATGTATACAGGAATATTCGTCGTCTTTTGGGAGGTGATGGAAACTACAGTCGTTGGCAGGATCACTCTGATTTCGTTTTCAGCTTATGTTCAAAACAATCACGTTTAAGCCACTGAATTAGTTTAGTCCGGTTATACATACAACCGCGAACAGCACATGTTGTCCCTGAGCTCCGTAACACATATCTCTCATAAAGATTTGCATCTTTAAATAGTAAAATAATTCTCCGAAAAACAGCTAGCCTCTTCGCTAACTAACCCACAAAATACCATTGGAATGCTACTTCCGCCGCCTCACCGGAAGTTTCACCCAAGTGGAAAACCGCAATGAATCATGGGAAATAGAACGGGCGCATAATAAGGTGGATAAAAAGATGTGGATTTTAGATGACACGTAACAGTTTCCACTCGCCGATCGTCCGGTATTTAATGAATGTAAGTTTCAAAGCGACACGGGACATGTTTATCCCATTATTCCCATCATTCCAGCGGACGCCAGCAAGGTTTCGTTTGAAGGGATCGTAAACAGTCACACATTGACCATGTTTCTCCCACAGCAACTGTTGGTTTACTGGGGTATTTATATTCAAAACACACTTACCACGGTTTGACCAGTTGTGGCATTTGTGGTTAAAACATAGTAACAACACTTACCATGTATTACCACCACAATAACCACAATGTTTTTGTAAGTTTTTTAAGTATTTTTCACACGAAAGTACCAGAAATAAATACTTACAGCATTGCCAAATACATATTCTGTCTGACTTATTTGCAAGTTTGAATTCGTTAAACACACACACACACTTTTTATAGGTCCCCATCAATGTTTTTTTTTTTTTTACTTGATTTTAACATGATTTAAATCCTGACCAACCAGAAACATGTCTAACGACGTGTAACGACAACACGGTCCCGTTAGATAGGTGTATACACACACACACACACACACACACACACACACACACACACACAGAGAGAGTCGCTGTAAATAAGGTCAGTTTTATTGCTGAATCATGACGTCCCACGGACAGCTGGTCACATGACGCTGGTCAGGACGGGGCGTCACACCCTTGTATAAAGTCATGCAAATCCTACAAAGTTGTTCAAAAGATGATTTGGTTCCTTAAAAAGTCCAATCTCTCGGCGTGGGCTCAGTTGGGTGACGGGTGTTGGAGCTCACAGCGATCCCTGTAGGAGTCGTCCACACCTGAAGCTCCCGCTGGACTCTCTGATAAACCCACGATGATGCTCAGGACTGGCTTCAGCTCCACCATCTCACAGATCAATCATTCACCCAATCACAAATCAATCAAACACACTGTTAAAGTGCATGCAGAGTCTGATCATCAGCTGGACGTCAATCATATCAAAAGAGAGAGAGAGAGAGAGAGAAGCCACTGTGATGTACCAGTGCGACTCTCTCTCTATCTCTATCTCTGGTTAAGACTTGTTTTCTAAAAGATCAAACTTAAGTGAGTTTAAGCTTAAAACAAGAACACGTATCTCTCTTAATCATCTTAATTCAAAGGGAAAACGGGAGTAAAATTCAATCCTTACTGACAGATACTGTGTTCTTATTAAAGCAAAAACTCAATTTTATTTAGAAAACAAGACTTTAGTACATCTCTTACTTTAGGACTGTGCTGGAAAACAAACATACTAAAGGAAGAACATCTGTTTCTGCAGTGTGTGACACACACACACACACACACACAAACCGTCCGTCTGTCAGCATTAAACACACACAAACACACCTGAACCAGACTTTCCTCAGCATTACACACACACAGACACCTGAACTGGCCGTCTGTCAACATTTAACTGCTCATTTCCTTTATTAAAGGTCAGCGGCCGTGTCACTGCGCTTGAAGCCTGGAAAAAACATTTTCTAGTGTTTGATTCTGCAATAAAATGTTAAAAAAAAAATAAATAAAAATAATTAAAATTATATTGAAAATAATAAAAAAGCACACAAAAAAAAGTCCCATTCAGGTCATTGTGCTGACAAACATCATGAGGACTTCATCAAAGTGAGAACAGGGGATGCAGACGATGTGAAGCGGTTTGAGAGAACTGGACACACACACACACACACACACACACCGCCAGCTTCAGTCAGAGCGGGGGATGTCCTGAGTGTGTCCGTGTGGATGGTGACGTGTGTATCATGCGTTCCTAGATCTGAGCCCGCGCAGCCTGAGAATCAGTGAAGAGTCATCATCATCATCATCATCGCTCATCTCTACGGCCGGTGAAACCTGCACACACACACAGCAGCGTCACACACACCTGCACCCGCTCAAACCCACTGTTCAACGCCTGATCACTCAGATACGCTCAGGACTGTGGCGTTCACACAGTTAAAGGCTTCATTAGTGTTGTGTAGCGCAGTGAACACACTCCATCAGGAGCTGGAACTAAAGTAGCTATGGCTTGACTTTTTACATTGTTAGAACACATCAATTACATTTGGACATTCTCATGCTGGGAAAAAGAAAAAAATATATGTAACTTTTATTATAATTCTACTTCTATAGACGTGAGTCGCATCTGGATAATATTCTGTTCAGTCCTTGACGCCCCCTAGTGGCCATTTTTTATATCTTGTGATTGATGTAAAAGATTGTTTTATTGATTTTGGACTCAATCAGAAGAATGTGCTGTAAATAATGCTGTGCTATTCTCCACAGTCGGAGCAGTTTCGTGAAGTAACGAGCAACGCAGCGTCAGGATATCACGTTCACATGGCTCTCGCAGGGCTTCACATAACAAGTTTATTAGATTTAAGTACATATCTACATTAATAATGGAATTAAATTTGATGTGAATTCTGCTGTTTGATGCCGTTTCATTCCACTTTAAAACATTAGCATTATATCAAACATTCATCAAGTTATTGTTATATTGAGGAAAATGATATTGCGATAATTATCTTTATTGTTTATTGCCCAGCCATATTTATACTGTTATGTTGAATGGCTATGATGACATTTACATTTTAAAATCTGAATTGGTCCAATTACAACTGCATAAGTAATGTTGAGATTAATGTTTCACAAATGAAGCTTTACTGTTTGTATGAAATCAATATCATGTAAAAATGTTGCACTTCATTGCTCTGTAAATATCTAAAATTGTGTGTGTGTGTGTGTGAGAGAGAGAGAGAGAGAGAGAGAGAGTGTGTGTGTGTGTGTGTGTGTGTGTGTGTGTGTGTGTTCACCTGGTCAGATGCCGGCTGGACTCATGGACCTCCATCTCATTGCTCTTGAAATCATTCAGCTCTTTTCTGATGGCGGCCTGCAGCACAAAACACACACACACGTTAGTAATGCTAGTAACAGTTTGCTGAGCTTAAGCTAGAGCAGGTTTAGTTTGTTCGGCCTGATTCAGCCGTGTTCAAAGACCTGTAGTGGTGACTGCTGGAAGGTTGGTTTATATGATGGTATCGTTGCTCAACACAAGCTCAGGTTTAGAGGAGGCGTGCGCAGGTTTAGAGGAGGCGTGCACAGGTTTAGAGGAGGCGTGCACAGGTTTAGAGGAGGCGTGCACAGGTTTAGATGAGGCGTGCACAGGTTTAGATGAGGCGTGCGCAGGTTTAGAAGAGGCGTGCACAGGTTTAGATGAGGCGTGCACAGGTTTAGATGAGGCGTGCACAGGTTTAGATGAGGCGTGCGCAGGTTTAGAGGAGGCGTGCGCAGGGTTTGAGGAGGCGTGCGCAGGTTTAGAGGAGGCGTGCGCAGGTTTAGAGGAGGCGTGCGCAGGTTTAGAGGAGGCGTGCGCAGGTTTAGAGGAGGCGTGCGCAGGTTTAGAGGAGGCGTGCGCAGGGTTTGAGGAGGCGTGCGCAGGTTTAGAGGAGGCGTGCGCAGGTTTAGAGGAGGCGTGCGCAGGTTTAGAGGAGGCGTGCGCAGGTTTAGAGGAGGCGTGCGCAGGTTTAGAGGAGGCGTGCGCAGGGTTTGAGGAGGCGTGCGCAGGTTTAGAGGAGGCGTGCGCAGGTTTAGAGGAGGCGTGCGCAGGTTTAGAGGAGGCGTGCGCAGGTTCAGAGGAGGCGTGCGCAGGTTTAGAGGAGGCGTGCGCAGGTTTAGAGGAGGCGTGCGCAGGGTTTGAGGAGGCGTGCGCAGGTTTAGAGGAGGCGTGCGCAGGTTTAGGTAAGGCGTGCACAGGTTTAGAGGAGGCGTGCACAGGTTCAGATGAGGCGTGCACAGGTTCAGATGAGGCGTGCACAGGTTCAGATGAGGCGTGCACAGGTTCAGATGAGGCGTGCACAGGTTCAGATGAGGCGTTCACAGGTTTAGAGGAGGCGTGCACAGGTTCAGATGAGGCGTGCACAGGTTCAGAGGAGGCGTGCGCAGGTTTAGAGGAGGCGTTCACAGGTTTAGGTGAGGCGTTCACAGGTTTAGGTGAGGCGTTCACAGGTTTAGGTAAGGCGTGCACAGGTTTAGAAGAGGCGTGCACAGGTTTAGGTGAGGCGTTCACAGGTTTAGGTGAGGCGTTCACAGGTTTAGGTGAGGCGTTCACAGGTTTAGGTGAGGCGTTCACAGGTTTAGAGGAGGCGTGCACAGGTTCAGATGAGGCGTGCACAGGTTCAGATGAGGCGTGCACAGGTTCAGAGGAGGCGTGCACAGGTTCAGATGAGGCTTGCACAGGTTCAGAGGAGGCGTGCACAGGTTCAGAGGAGGCGTGCATGTGTGTTTGTGTGGCTTATAAAGTTCATCTGGGAACGCAGCATGTGCCATTTCATTAGATTTGTAACGTAAATCATTTATAAACCTACGCCAACACAAGAGAATACATCAACGTGTCTAAATATCCAAACACAGCAATTTCAAAATAAAAGTTAAACCCTTCGCTTTGATTTCAACATGTTCAGGAAATGACAGCGGCTGTAGCATTTCTAACATACAGAAGAGGCCAAATCAAGATTAAAGATCTAATTAAACATTAAGAGGACATTACATGTTGCTTGGCCAATATTAAACAAGGATTTGATCTGTTGTAAAGTGAAACCTCAATCCGCAGACGTTGGCGCCCTCTGCAGGCGTTTGTTATATGTATTGAATTATGTATTTTAAATGCATCAGCCGCTGTAATTTCCTGAACATGTGGAAAAAACATGCAAACTCAGAGCGAGGGTTTAACTTATTTTGAAATCGTGATGAACAACAAATCAAATATTTAGACATGTTGATGTATTTTCCTGTGTTGGCGTAGGTTTATAAATGATTTACGTCACAAATCTGGTGAAATAGCACACACTGGGTTCCCAGATGGACATTATAAGTCACACAAACAAAGTTTAAGACGCATGTAAACGATATATAGATCATGAGCAGCGTTTACTCTGAACAGAGGTCAGAATACTAATCAACTGACAGCAGCATAGACTAAAAGATCTCAGTTAATCCAAACGAAGATCAATTTAAAACGACATTCATCTGTTCCACAGAGTGGAGAAACTCGCCTTGTCGGCCGCAGTGAGTCTCGTCCAGGGCTTGTCTGTGCGCCGGTCGTAATCCTGAGCGTCCGACACCTCCACGTAATCATTGAAGCGGATGAGGATCTTGGCTCGCCGTAAGTCCTCCACTGTGGGCCTCTGACTCAGCTGAAAAACATTCACACACACCGAGTGAGAGAGAGACACACACACACACACACACTCATACACTCAGGCACCCATCATACCTTGCGTGAGAGTCGGCGTCGGATCTCTCTCTTCTCCTCCATCTGCTCCTGCTCATTACGAGCTGTGGGACAGAAACCGGTCAGAGGGGAAACAAACAATCCTTCATGAGCAACAGACTGAACACTGTGTCCTAATCAGACGCGACGACAATTCACAATTCGACGTTTCACACACTCTTCTGATTGGCTGTGATTTTGGATGGATTGGAGATGTGAGTGCAGTGCGTTTGCAGAGAGACTCCGCCCACACTCTCTTCTGATTGGCTGTGATTTTGGATTGATTTGGTTGAGTGCAGTGCGTTTGCAGAGAGACTCCGCCCACACTCTCTTCTGATTGGCTGTGATTTTGGATTGATTTGGTTGTGAGTGCAGTGCGTTTGCAGAGAGACTCCGCCCACACACTCTTCTGATTGGCTGTGATTTTGGATTGATTTGGTTGTGAGTGCAGTGCGTTTGCAGAGAGACTCCGCCCACACGCTCTTCTGATTGGCTGTGATTGTGGATTGATTTGGTTGTGAGTGGAGCGTGTTTGCATAGAGACTCCGCCCACACGCTCTTCTGATTGGCTTTGATTGTGGATTGATTTGGTTGTGAGTGCAGTGCGTTTGCAGAGAGACTCCGCCCACACACTCTTCTGATTGGCTGTGATTTTGGATTGATTTGGTTGTGAGTGCAGTGCGTTTGCAGAGAGACTCCGCCCACACGCTCTTCTGATTGGCTGTGATTTTGGATTGATTTGGTTGAGTGCAGTGCGTTTGCAGAGAGACTCCGCCCACACTCTCTTCTGATTGGCTGTGATTTTGGATTGATTTGGTTGTGAGTGCAGTGCGTTTGCAGAGAGACTCCGCCCACACACTCTTCTGATTGGCTGTGATTTTGGATTGATTTGGTTGTGAGTGCAGTGCGTTTGCAGAGAGACTCCGCCCACACGCTCTTCTGATTGGCTGTGATTGTGGATTGATTTGGTTGTGAGTGGAGCGTGTTTGCATAGAGACTCCGCCCACACGCTCTTCTGATTGGCTGTGATTGTGGATTGATTTGGTTGTGAGTGCAGTGTGTTTGCAGAGAGACTCCGCCCACACACTCTTCTGATTGGCTGTAACTTTGGTGTGGTTTGGTTGTGAGTGCAGTGCGTTTGCAGAGAGACTTCGCCCACACACTCTAGTGCGATTGATTGATTTGGTGAATAGATTTGGTAGCGAGTGTTGATGTGGACACACACACTCTTGTCGCTGGTTGTTGTCTCCGCGCGTCTGGTTAGCACACGGCGTGTGATGAGTGAACATGACTCACGTTTGAGGATGTTCCTCTGCTCCAGCTCTTCGGCCGTGGGTCTCTGGCTCAGTCTCCTGTTGAACACACACACACACACACACACACACACGTTCAGCTCCGACAAGCACATGCGTTTCAAACTCAGCGTTATATACAAAAAGGTTAATATACAACAGTTTTAAAAGCAAAGGAAGTTACAAGGCCTATTTCAATGACGGAGAGGGTGATATTTAATATTTGTAGACCATTCGCTCATGACCAACACACACGATCAGGGGCGGATTTCATTACACAGCTTCATTGATTATAACTACACATCTTCTGGAATGACAGCCATATTTAGATGTGTGATTGAATGGGATATTGACAGTGACAGGGACTTTTCAAATGAGTCACTCAGTGACTTTTTACATGGTAATCATACATGAGATTTAAAGGTCCCCTGACATGTTTTTTATTTATTATTTTATAATGTTTCCTGGGTTGCCCTTATAATATTAGTATGTTTTTTAGATCAAAAATAGTCATAATTTAGAAATAAAAGGCATTTTTCCTAGCCTGATTTTAGCCTCTGCTTAGAACGCTCTGTTAGAAGGGGCGTGTCTGCTGTGGGATTCAATGTAACCGCCCACTGCTGTGATTGGCTGACATGCTTGCATATGAAATAGCTACATATTACATGTGAAACTCTCTTGAATACGTTTTACTACAGCTATTATACGTTTTTACTATTACAGATATCGAGATTACTGAATCGTGAGAAGTTTTTGAAGTATTTGATGAGCAGCAGATAACAGTCTGTCGATCGCGAGAATGAAGATCTTATTGTATAACGCAGTTTCTGCACTCTCTGCATTCACCAATGCAGACACGATGATGTACATACAGTAAGAGCTTCGTTGTGCAGTGTAACGCAGTTTCTGTTCTCTCTAAAGCCCCAAACTCGTCCGCTCTCGTCGAGGTAAAAAGCTGCACTTGAACTCACCGTGAGAACAGCAGCCGACTGACAGCTAAATCTTCGTTCTGCGCCTGCATTTAATGAGCCAACTGTCTGTTTCTGCAGATATATTAGTCTATATTCGTCATTCAAAAAGGAAAACCGACGCTGCCGGCTCAACAAGGCTCAAAATAGCCCCACACTAACACAGTAACATAATGAGGCTCCATACATGAACTGTATGAACAGGGTTCGGGGATCGACTTATCGAGACTATTTCCTAAGATGGCTCCTGTCTGTATACGCGAAGTGAACTGTCTTCATAAAGTATCTTCTTATTAAACGGTCTGTACACTTACAAAGTTCTCAATGCTTCGTTTTGCATGTATGGAGCCTCATTATGTTACTGTGTTAGTGTGGGGCTATTTTGAGCCTTGTTAGTGGAATAAACTAGCGATTTCTTTTTACTTAGTCAATGCCCCCATTACTAGCATTATACGCTAAACAGTTTATAGAGATAAAACTCTTTACATTCGATTATCATGAAAACAAATCTCAGAGAACGGTTGACTATGTACCGATGTTTTATTAGACCAAAGGTTCATTGTTCACCGGAGTTCTCCTTTAAGACATGAAAAGGGAAAAACTTTGAAATTTTGTTGATGAGAGATGAGTTTTAAGGGATAAAATGATTGACTACAGGGGGAGCTTAATGTTAACTCTGCATTCACTTGTAAAGGATTCACATGGGTACTTTATACTGATGACCGTGTTCAATCGAGATCAGTTTTGAGCCTGGAAAAACCCTGCGATGTGTGTGTGTGTACCGTGTGAGTTTGGTGCCGATGAGCTGTCTGGACTGCATGCGCTCCTCGTCCGTCTGCACAGGTAAGATGTTCTTCTCCTGCAGTTCTCTCTGAGACGGCCTGTTACTGAGCTTCACCGCCAGAGAGTCCTTCCTCAAGATCTTCAGCGCCAGCGTGCCTGCACACACACACACACACACACACACACGATAACTACATCAGTGTTCAGCAACAGCGCACAATATCATTCTGTTTATCATAAGTGCAGCAGTTTTGTCGTCTTGATTCATCCTGTCAATGTTTTTTTCGTTCATCAGCTGGAAAATACATTCCTGACAGATATTCCAATGGCTGTGTCTCTGTCATTATCACTACAGTAGCGCTGCGCTAATCTGTCAGTCCTTCCAGAAAAAGAGTTTTTTAGTGAGTCTGCAGGATATTTATGCAATTTTATGCGATGAAATTGTGGGAACTTGCAAAAACTGCGGTTTGATGAAAAAGAGAGAGAGAGAAAAAAAGTGATTCCCCAACACCCTGTTCTTACTAGGCTACTTCCTTAATGTAAAGAGTCATTTAGAGAATATTTAATATTTAGGGAGTCAGTGCTGGGAATATTTAATTTCTCATCTTGTTTTATTTCAGACTGTAACGAGTGAAAATAAGGTGTGGCCCCTTTAAGAGCTGCGCGCTGAATTGTCTGCAGTGCGATGGTGCGTTCTATTATACCCAACGTCGGATTTGACGTCACGTCCACACTTCAAGCGTTCTATTATATTTTGCGTGTCCGAGTCGGAGAAAGCTGTTGTCATGGTAGCACTAGCCGAGTACCGGGCACTTACATTTAAAAAAAAATATTATGACTACACCTTATCAAAACGCAGCCATTTGAACGCGAAAATGTTCACTTTATTTAATGTTTTTCATGTTAATCTTCTGTTAGCAACGTTAGTAATTGCACTCACAACAACCGACAGGGGACGCAGTAATACGAGTGATTATAATCGTCATTATAATACCAAAGCGGTTCAAAAACAATGAAAACAATTCGTTCTTACAAGTCACAGGGCGCGGCCATCTTGAATTCCGAAACGGATTTCTTGCTCGGTGTCCTCACGGTTGTCCGACGTCCGAGAGGAGAAATCCGAGGAAACGGGGGCGTGTTGCTAGGCAACGTCTGTCGTCCGATTCGGATCTCCGAGACGGATGAATAATAGAACGCACCATTATGTGCGCCTCGAACACCCCATGTGTAACGTTCCCATGGTAACAGGGGGAAATGGCTGCTTTTGTGTGAAGCAAACGCAACATTTTTCAACTTTCTGCTAAGATACATGTGACTTTTTTGCAACGAAAATGCGAGGATTATGAAATCACGCAAGCCCCGCATATTTTGCACGGAAATCTGCAATTTATGCGGCGAAAGTGCGGCGTATTTGAAAAAATGCGGCCCCCGCATGAATATGCGGACTTTGGCTGATTTTGCATTGAATTCAGCGATCGCATAATCACTTTTTTCTGGAGGGACTGATCTTTTACATTTACAATGAGTTCTAGAACGATATTTTACTGTTAAAGGGGTGATGAACTGAGAAATCAAATTTTCCTCTAGCTTTTAACATCTAAGAGGTCATCATATTATAAGAATATCCTGCAAGTTTCAGAACTGAAAACGTCCTTGTTAGTCCAATAAAAGCTTTTATTGACACCAGCCACAGCAAACGACTCGTTTTTCAAAGTGGGGAACTATAAACCCCACCCCCGCAGAAGAAGATCAACGCCTACTTCAACATGGCCGGTTTAGCCCGCCCACCGATTCGCGCATTATACGCATAGCTAAATAACATAGATGCCTACCTCGTGATGACAAACCGGATCGACATCGTCCGTCTGTTCGCTTCATTTCACTGAGGATTGTTTTGTAAACAACACACGGACTCTGGGTCGAACATGTATGGGCGAATCCGGTTGCCAGTTTACAACATTGGACGTTTTCAAAACAATTTCCCCCAAGCGCATCGACGGGTGAGTCGAAACTCATTATAATATGCAAAACTGTTCTCCACTCACAGCAGTGGGCGTTTACTTCCAAGTCTTCAGTGCGACACGCCCATAAAAACACAGCATTTCTGAGATAGGCTCAAAACTAGGGTACAAAATAGCCTACTTATTCATTTTGATGTTTTTGAATGTAAAAACCAAGCGAACGTCATAAGTTGACCTCAGACAACAATATAATGAGATTGAAAAAGCCAGTTCATGACCCCTTTAATGTCATGTTTCTGGAATCTGGATGTGACCCAGTGAGCTCGTTTTTAAACAAGAACTAGGCCATAATAACCAATCGTTGCAAACACACACTCACTCGTGAAGAGAGCGTCGTCCTCCTCCTCGTCGTCCTCGTCCTGCTCTTCATCCTTGTACATGCTGGGCAGGTCCTCGTAGTCCGACTCGCTGGGGATGTTCTCTTTATCGTCGTCACAGTCGATCAGACCCGAGGGCAGAGGAGAGCCGTACTGACCCGTGTGGAGCGCAGAGCTGCGGATCACACACACACACGTGGGCCAACCAGTTAAATCAGTGGATGATCGACCTCGTTTATATAAACACTGCTCATGATCAATGCGTATATGAGCCTGCATTAGACAAGCTCTTCTCGGGATTCGACTGATCAGCGAATGATTCCTAATGAACGCTGTGACGAGCTAGCTAGGAGACTCGTCAAGGGAACGACGTCCGACGGTTCATCTCTCTATGTGTGGAGTGAGGTCTTTCTCCAGGTCACTTTGTGTTTGGGTCGGGCTTTTGTTATTTGGTTCAGATTTTTGTTTTCTGTGGCTGATGGCCATGTTTTCTTGTTTTTACACGTTTATCTTGTGCAACCCAATCACTGTGTCCACGTCTTCAACGGTTTCAGAGGGGGGACAGAATCTCCCAGACGTCATTAAAACTGGCCCTGTTCACGTGTGTGTCTGGGGATGTACGGTCTGGAGGACACAAGGTCGAGTCATGGCGTTTCATCTGGCAAACTAACGCTAGCCAGATCTGTGTGTTTGCTATGTCGCTGAGACGGACGCGCTAGTGCTCATATCTAGGGTTGGGTATCGTTTGAATTTGAACGATTCTGATTCCGATTCCTTGTTTCGATTCCGGTTCCTAACGATTCTCGATTCTGATTCTTTTAAGAGGCAGGGTCAAAAAAGTTTAGCTAACCTTGCTAACCAACGGCCTTTCTGAAGGAAATACTCCTTCTGTAAAAATACTCCTTTTGTCACAAATTTTGCATTTTGCCGAGATTTCGTTATTTTTAGAAAAGTGAAGCCACACTTTGGATCGCCGACGTAAGCTACTCATGTTCGACTCGCGCGGTTATGCCAACACTTCCGGTAGACGCTTCTTCGTTGGTGTTGTTCAGCAGTTTCTTCTTCCGCTCGGCGGACTGTGAATATCGAAACTAGGAATCGAAATTTTTACTTTTGAACGATTCCGGGAAAAACTAAAAGTTAGTCTCGGTTCCAATCGATACTCGATTCTCGATACCCAACCCTACTCATACTCGTGCCACAAACAACGTCTAATTTAGGTTTCATTTAAACACATGTATGCCTATAGCACAAAAATGTTGTATTTAGATCAACGTGCAATCGTCAACCAGTGAATCTCTGAGTGAGTGAGTGGAGGCGGGGCTCATTTGCATATTCATAGAACCGCACATACTAAATATTTAGTTGGGAAAATAAATACACTGATGTTTATGGTAGCGGTTCAAATTATTCTAATTTCACGGCATGTTTTATTCACGTCAGAAATGCATTGTATAGATAACTAACTTTCTTCGTCTCCCAGTTCACTGGCCACTTACTTTCACGTCTTTAGGGAGAAGTGGAGGAATCTGCGTGTTTTAAATCCCACGACACTGATTCTGTGCGCTTTCCAGTTATTACATCATCACCATCATCTATTGATCATAATGCAAGCGTTTAAAAAGACTAACTACAATCAGAATCGGGATATCCGGCAACTGTTCAAGCTAAAACCAAGAGGTTTGTTTTCTCAGCGCTAAATGGACTCTATTGAATATTGAAGACAATGGACACAATTAAGACTGAATTTGAATCCAAAACCAAGAATGTTTATCAAGCTTAAGTGAGCAAGATAATTTTTAATGTGCAGTTTAATGAATATACATTTTAAAATGTCTCACTTACTTATATTCACTTTTACTGTTGTGCAATTCAGAGTAAAATGTTGAGTAAAATGAAAAATTTAAGATTAAATTAAAATCATGGTTAAAGGACAATCAAGTGTGTACCCATATTCTGTAGTTTTTAAATCATCTTAATCATGTTTTGATTTGTTGCTCTTGTTGAATGTATTTTATGAGCTTCTATGTAATTTGTTTTACATGTATAAGTATTGTTGATAGTCTGAATGTATTTTATCGGTTATTACATTTGCCCAGTGACTACAGTTGAAAATTAGCCAAGATGGCTAAACTGGAACATTTACGTAAGCGTTTATTAATGTGCACGGTCCCTGTAACTTTAAACTGATTAAATAAATAAAATAAATAAAATGTCAGGTAATGTTGGAAGTGGGGTGTGTGTGGAGAGCCTGAACTCGAAATGGTCAAAAAGGGAATGCCCTGGCTTAAAATAACATGTATTAGAGTTACACTGACAATTACAAGATATTAAAATTGAAATAAAATGCATTGTGGTCATTTCTTTTATGTCGGATTAACATAAGCTGATTAAATTGCACTTACAGAACAATGTAAAGCGGCTTAACTTAAACCTAACAAGTCTCAGTAATCAAAACATTGGAGAACACTGGACTTACTCTCAGCCGCACAAGCGATGCTAACTCCCTGAGTGCATTGCAGCATGAATAAATTAGTTTTAAAACTTTCTGGCTTTATTGGACTTCAAACAAAACCAATCAACATCAATTTATAAAGTCAGCTTATGTGATTCTCTCTCAATATTTTTACTTTTACTGACAATTCAGCAGTGAAGTTGAGTTTGGGAAACGAGTGAGCGCAAGTAAAGAGTAGCCGTTCATTCATCAATACCTGAGACTAGAGCTTCCTCCTACGGTCACACAGTTAAAGCAGTTCATCCTCAGAGAGTGTGTGTGGTTTGAGACGCCTCCATGAACACACATCAGTCGAGTGAATGATTCAGTTTAATATTTAAAGTTAATTTTTTTAAAACATTACTTCATATTTATATTTTCAGAATTTTAGATTTAAATAAATATGAATCTCAAAGCACTGTTTCTGCAAATGTAATTTCAGGGAAATGATGCTGGTTCAGACGCAGACGCGCGTCTCTTCTACAGTGCAAACATGGGAAATGTTGATACTAGTGCTGTCAAACGATTCAAATATTTAATCGCGATTAATCGCATTAATGGCATAGTTAACTCGCGATTAATCGCACTAATGGCATAGTTAACTCGCGATTAATCGCACTAATGTCATAGTTAACTCGCGATTAATCGCACTAATGTCGTAGTTAACTCGCGATTAATCGCATTAATGTCATAGTTAACTCGCGATTAATCACATTAATGTCATAGCTAACTCGCGATTAATTGCATTAATGTCATAGTTAACTCGTGGATTAATCGCACTAATGTCATAGTTAACTCGCGATTAATTGCATTAATGCCATAGTTAACTCGCGATTAATTGCATTAATGTGATAGTTAACTCGCGATTAATTGCGTTAATGTGATAGTTAACTCGCGATTAATCGCACTAATGTCGTAGTTAACTCGCGATTAATCGCATTAATGTCATAGTTAACTCGCGATTAATTGCATTAATGTCATAGTTAACTCGCGATTAATAGCATTAATGTCATAGTTAACTCACGATTAATCGCATTAATGTCATAGTTAACTCGCGATTAATAGCATTAATGTCATAGTTAACTCACGATTAATCGCATTAATGTCATAGTTAACTCGCGATTAATAGCATTAATGTCATAGTTAACTCGCGATTGATAGCATTAATGTCATAGTTAACTCACGATTAATCGCATTAATGTTATAGTTAACTCACGATTAATTGCATTAATGTCATAGTTAACTCGCGATTAATCGCATTAATGTCATAGTTAACTCGCGATTAATAGCATTAATGTCATAGTTAACTCGCGATTAATTGCATTAATGTCATAGTTAACTCGCGATTAATTGCATTAATGTTATAGTTAACTCACGATTAATCGCATTAATGTTATAGTTAACTCACGATTAATTGCATTAATGTCATAGTTAACTCACGATTAATCGCATTAATGTCATAGTTAATAGGAGAGGATTAACTCGCGAGAGGATTAACTCGTTAATCGACCAATAAAAACATTGACGCTGTTAAAATGGGTTTGCGTTAACGCCGTTAATAACGGCAGCCCTAGTTGATACCGATTTCATTTGACTGGTACCAGGCTTCCACCATTGGATTTCCACACTGCCATCCTGCTAGCTAGCTATTTTATGTAGTCGATATGACAGACAAGGTGCACTTCACTGTATTTTCCTTTTTGAAGTGATTTCAGTCATATTTCCAGCAATTGAAACCCATCATGGTGAACAGTGCACATCTGAAGCGTCTCAGCTGGAGGAAATAATACATCACTTATCGATAATTATATAATATATGTATAATATATCAGACAATTTTTTTTATCAGACCGATACCGATCACATTACAAATTAAATATCGGCCGATACCGATATGGGGACCGATATATATTTGTGTATGAGCACACACACACACCTCTCCAGTCTCTGTAGGGCGAGCGCCAGCGTCTTCTGCAGCTCGTCAATGATGCGGCTGGATGGGTGGGCGGAGCCGTACTGCAGCGGGTGCCCGTACGGCCCGAACGAGGAGGAGGAGTACATCAGAAGCTTCTGAGGAGGAAGAGGAGGAGACGGCTTGCCCTGCACACACGGGTCTGGACACAACACACACAACTCAAACACAAACTCAACGGGACTGTTTACACAACTGTGCTGTGTTTGGTCAGTCTGGAGAAGGTGTGAATCTCACCTGTGCTGTGATTGGTCAGTCTGGAGAAGGGTTTGGGCGGCAGGGCAGGGGGCTGTTTGTGGATGAGCTGAGGTTTGGCGGGGGGTTCCTGAAGGTCACCATGGAAGGTGAGGTTTTTTTTGGGAGGAAGCGTTAGAGACTTGAGTGTGTTGTCCTGAGCACAGACTCCTCCATCCAGAGACAACCGGAAGTCCACTGTGAGCAAAGATCAGACACAGAGCTTTAGCGCACGGAGAGCTAGCGTCCTACTATCTGAGAGATGGACACAGCAGAACAAAGCCCATTACTCAGCTCATGCAGGGCTTCACTATCTCAGCTAAGCTCATTAAAGACAGCCGTTAGCTAAAGCAGCCCTTTCATGATAGGTCATCGCTTTAATTATCTCGACACAGTGAGGCAGAAGCACACAACTCATCACACATGACTATTACAGGACAGTGTGAGTTTACACTACCCATAATCCTTTTTACTGATATTTTTACAATCATGGCATTGGATATCGGTTTTGTAATATCATATCCACCGATAAAAGGGACACAATAAATAATAATAAGAGTGTTGACAAGATAGACACACACTATCTTGCTCACTCACTCACTCATTCGCAGCTATCGATTATTTTAGTAGTCGTGTATTCTAATAAAAATAGATTCAAGTGAACAACAGCCTTTAAAACAACATAAAATACAAATATATAATAACAACAAGCAATAATAATTGGTTCAAATAAAGTATCAAAGTAATCATATGGGTTTTATTGAACAACACCGTTTAAATACACCATGTAAAATAAATGATATAAACATGACTAATGTCCGTTGTCCTCCGTGAACATCGCTGAAAACTCAGGGCTGCGGAGAGCAAGTGGCGCAAATTAAAAAAAAAAAAAAAAAAGTTATTGAGCTTAAGTCAGAACACAACTAAATTACCAATTGTTCTGACTCCCACTGGTACCTTTCCCACAGCAATAAAGAGGCTCAGGTAACCCCACTGCTTAAAGGGTTAGTTCACCCAAAAATGAAAATTAAGTCATTAATTACTCACCCCCATGCTGTACCAACCCCGTAAGACCTTCGTTCGTCTTCGGAACACAAATGAAGATATTTTTGATTAAATTTGAGAGCTGTATAACTACCACATTGGCTCCTAAGGGACTGGCTCTTGACGGCCCAGAAAGTCAATGAAGAAAATGTTTAAATATCCCAAGTGACTACCGTGGCTCAACTATATGTTTATCAAGCGACGAGAATACTTTTTGTGCGAAAAAACAAACAAAAATAACGAGTTTATTCGACTATTTCTTTTCTTCCTTGCAGGCCAGAACGAGACTTCCTTAGATTTCCACGACGAATGTGCGAGATTTGCAATCTGCTTACGCCAGCTTACACTACTTCAGATCGCAAATCTCGCGCATTCGTCGTGGAAATCTAAGGAAGTCTCGTTCTGGCCTACAAGGAAGAAAAGAAATAGTCGAATAAACTCGTTATTTTTGTTTGTTTTTTCGCACAAAAAGTATTCGCGTCGCTTGATAAACATATAGTTGAGCCACGGTAGTCACTTGGGATATTTAAACATTTTCTTCATTGACTTTCTGGGCCGTCAAGAGGCAGTCCTTTAGGAGCCAATGTGGTAGTTATACAGCTCTCAAATTTAATCAAAAATATCTTCATTTGTGTTCCGAAGACGAACGAAGGTCTTACGGGGTTGGTACAGCATGGGGGTGAGTAATTAATGACTTAATTTTCATTTTTGGGTGAACGAACCCTTTAAGAAACCCACTCTAAATCCAGCACATCTGGAAAATTACAGAGCGGTATCCGGCCCTGCTCTCGGTTATTGAGGCTTTGAGACTGGCAAGAGCCGCTTACACATCCTCAGTCCTCATCATGCTGGATCTGCTGTGTTTGACACGGTTAACCACCAGATGCTCCTGTCAATCATAAAGACGAAGGATATCTCGGACGAAGACAAAGCACTGCAATCTGATGTGTCGTGGAGGGGTGCGGTGAGGTGTCTAAGACCCATCATCTAGCTACTGGAGTGCCTCAGGGCTCAGTGCTGGGACCGCTTCTCTTCTCCATCTACATGTTATCACTGGGATCTGTCATTCAGAAACATGGTTTATCCATCACTGTTATCATCTAGCTACTGGAGTGCCTCAGGGCTCAGTGCTGGGACCGCTTCTTTTCTCCATCTACATGTCATCACTAGGATCTGTCATTCAGAAACATGGCTTTTCCTTTCACTACGCTGATGACACACAACTCTACCTCTCATTCCAGCCGGAGGATTAGACGGTTGCTCGTATCTCAGCCTGCCTGACAGACATTTATTACTGGATGAAGGACCACCACCTTCACACACACAGCCAGTCCTCTGCTGGTTTGGGATGTCTGATGCGTGCTTACAGTCTCACACACACACACACACACACTCACCGGTCCTCTGTCGGTCTGGGGCGTCTGCTGTGCGCTCACAGTCTGCTCCTGAGGGATTGCTCTGCATCAGTCCCGGGACTCTGGAGTCTGACGAGCACAAACACTTTCCTGAGCTCAAGTCCTCGGCCCACTTCCACAGACAGGGTTACGCCTTTGCAGGTCAATTAGGACACTTAAGTAGCTTTTATAAACGTGCCTTAGAAAAAACAACACTGGTGTGCATCTTCAGACAGAACAATGGCAGTGACATATCTCAAGATTTGCTTTTAATTAAAACGGCTCAAACAAGCTTTTTAGTCTGAGACTAGCTTAAGCCTCATCCGTGAAACCTGGCGATAATGTTAGTAGACTTTTTACATTTAGAAATAAATGACAATTTCTACCCTGCTTTTGGCTCTGTGATTTAAAGGTGTGTGTCTCCTTTAAGAGCTCAATGTAAATGCCCTCTGCTGTGATTGGCTCATTTTATATGAAATAGGTATTAAATGAGGAACTCCAGCCATAGAGCACATTTAGGCCACGCCCACCCTAGGGGGTGGGACAAACACATACACAACCAAACCGTCTCCCATTGCCTCTGTATTGTGTAAAGCTCCTGCTTGTCACTTATGGCTCATAACAAAAAAACTAATGTCTACAAGCGTCTGTGTGACGGGGTGTCCAGCAAAGCTGAAAAACCCAGAAATACGCTTTTATAAGCTGTCGACCCCAAAAAACAAGCGTTTAAAGGAGAACTCCGGAGAATTGCGAGATATAAAGTCAGAATTGCGTGATGTAAAGTCAGAATTGCGAGATACAGTCAGAATTGCGAGATATGAAGTCAGAATTGCGAGATATAAAGTCAGAATCGCGAGATATAAAGTCAGAATTGCGTGATATAAAGTCAGAATTGCGTGATATAAAGTCAGAATTACGAGATATAAAGTCAGAATTGCGAGATATAAAGTCAGAATTGCGAGATATAAAGTCAGAATTGCGAGATATAAAGTCAGAATTGCGATATAAAGTCAGAATTGCGAGATATAAAGTCAGAATTGCGAGATATAAAGTCATTTAAAGTGTATCACGCAATTCTGACTTTATATCTCGCAATTCTGACTTTATATCGCAATTCTGACTTTATATCTCGCAATTCTGACTTTATATCTCGCAATTCTGACTTTATATCTGGCAATTCTGACTTTATATCACCCAATTCTGACTTTATATCTCACAATTCTGACTTTATATCTCGCAATTCTGACTTTATATCGCAATTCTGACTTTATATCACACAATTCTGACTTTATATCTCGCAATTCTGACTTTATATCACGCAATTCTGACTTTATATCACCCAATTCTGACTTTATATCACACAATTCTGACTTTATATCTCGCAATTCTGACTTTATATCTCGCAATTCTGACTTTATATCTCGCAATTCTGACTTTATATCTCGCAATTCTGACTTTATATCACCCAATTCTGACTTAATATCACACAATTCTGACTTTATATCTCGCAATTCTGACTTTATATCACCCAATTCTGACTTTATATCTCGCAATTCTGACTTTAAATCTTGCAATTCTGAGAAAAGATGCCAAAATTTCGACATATAAACTCGCAATTATGTGTTATAAAGTCAGAATTGCGAGATGTAAACTCGCAATTGTGAGAAAAAAAGTTAAAATTGTGATATAAAGTCGCAATTATGAGAAAAAAAGACAGAAGTGCAACTTTTTATATCACCCAATTCTGACTTTATATCTCGCAATTCTGTCTTTATATCACGCAATTCCGACTTTATATCTCGCAATTTCCGACTTTATATCACGCAATTCTGACTTTATATCTCGCAATTTCCGAATTTATATCTCGCAATTCTGACTTTATATCTCACAATTTCCGAACTTTATATCTCGCAATTATGACTTTATATCTCGCAATTATGACTTTATAACACGCAATTGTGAGATACAAAGTCGTAATTATTTTTTTTATTTTCAGTGGCGGAAACAAGCTTCCATATTTAACAAACGTGGCGCTCCCATTGAAAACAACTGAAAACATACGCCAGCCCCATGTAAAACCGCTTTAGTGGACACACGGCCTAAGCGTGCAGTACGCATTTTGTGTCTCACTGGTGAGTCAAATATCCAAATGTCAGTTTAATATGTTATATTTCTGTGAGATGCGTTACCCTGTCGCCTCCAGAAGTCAGTTCTCAGAGTAACATGACATGCTGAGCTCGGCCTCAAACGCCTGAATCCACTTTTGTGTCCAAACTCTCGTATTTTGTGGTCGACAGCTTATAAAAGCTTCACACAATACAGAGTCAATGCAGATGTTTGGATTGTGTTTATGACGTATGTCCTTCAGACGGCACGTCTCGGTCCGGTGACTGACCTTTCTGGAAGATCTCCTTCAGCACGCCTCTCTGGATCAGCTCGTCCCGGCTCTGGCGCGCACACATCTTCCTCTCCAGCGCTGGGAACACAGATGAAGAGCGAGAGGTGAGGGACAGCTCAGTGCGGACCGAGCTGAGGTCACGGGGACGCGGCGACACGAACAGATCCTTCTCATCTGATGGACCACAAACACTCGAGAGCTCAGTCACACTGCCAATCTGCATGATGGCTGATCTAGAGTCAGTGGGTCTGTGATTTAATCTAGACTGATCAATAGCGCCATCAAACTATTTACATATTTCATCTAAAGGATAAGCTGTTGAGGGTTTAATATGCAGATGTGTGGCAGCTCCTGAACACTGACGGGGAATCACTTATTCATCTGTCATTCATATATCCTAATAGATTGTCATGATGGAAACATTTACAGTCAAACTTAAGTTTATTCAGACTCCCTCAACATTTCTCACATTATCTCAGTTAATTCGCTATAGAAAACGGTGATAAATATGAGCAGAACTCAGGATATTTGACTGGTTTTGTCCGTCCTTCTGTTCGACTCTCAGTCACACATGAATTATGTTGAATATCTGTTAAATTTAACTACACAATTAGATAATACCAGTTTAGCTCAACCAGTGACCATGCAATGCTTCATGATGTTCAATGTGCGTGTAAAAAGAGCATTAGCCATTACAGAAAACACACTTCAGCAAAACATGATCAGCTCAAAGTGGAGGAATCATTATTGGTCCCAAATGTTGCTGGTAGTCACTGTATGAAGAATATTTGGGTATATTATGTCACAGTTTACTTAATTTTTCTCTCCTCACTCACATAAATAAACTATAGTGAACACACTAGTAAAAAAAATGATATCTGGTGTCTGAATAAGTTTTGTTTTGACTGTATGACGATGGCTGTCTAGACTCAATATGGGACGCGTGAGGTCATACACTGATCAAAAAAACACATATGCTACATATTTCGTCAGTTTGAGGAGATGTTAGGGGGATGACAGCAGGATTTGCTGATTCATCATCTGTCATTCTTCAAATATACTAATAAATTGCAAAAATTTGCATGGGATCTCTCTCTGATTGGGCATTTTACATTAATATACACTTATTTTAGCCCAATCGTTTTTTCAACTCTGTGCTATCACAACTAAATCTGCATATGCTTTCGTTTATTTCTCCGGATATTATATTGATGGCGCATCATCATCATCTTGCACCAGTCAAACTCATCAGTATGTTATGATGTAGTGTTAAACGCACATGGTGTTTACTGGGTTCCCATTGAGGTTTAAAAAACGTTATTTATGAAGGTTCTCAGCAGGTTCAAAAGCATTTTGCAGATGTTCTACCCAACATTTTGCATGATTGACAGTTTTCCTGTAGCTCAAACAATTACACTAGCAACACCAAAGGTCACAGGTTCAATTCCCAGTAAACTGATCAAATTTACATCTTGATGCACGCACCCGTCCCGTTGTATTATTGGTGTATTTTGGTTTTAATACAGAGTATAGAAGCGTTTACCTGTGGACCTCTGCTTGAAGGTCTCGCTCTTGTTCTTCCTCCACTTCCAGGGCTTGAAGAGCCGTCCCAGCGTGGAGAACTTGCTCCGGCAGTGGCCAGGCGGCACCAGGGACTCGGAGCGCATGGACGACAGCTTCTCCACCTCTTCGGCTGTGGGGGAACACACACACACAGGCTCAAACTGGAGGAACACACACATATGCTCAACTAGAGGGAACACGGGCTCAAACTGGGGGGAACACGGGCTCAAACTGGGGGGAACATGACCTCAAACTGGGGGGAACACGGGCTCAAACTGGGGGAACATGACCTCAAACTGGGGGGAACACGGGCTCAAACTGGAGGAACACGGGCTCAAACTGGGGGGAACACGGGCTCAAACTGGAGGAACACGGGCTCAAACTGGAGGAACACGGGCTCAAACTGGGGGAACACGGCTCAAACTGGGGGGAACACGGGCTCAAACTGGGGGAACACGGGCTCAAACTGGGGGAACACGGCTCAAACTGGGGGGAACACGGGCTCAAACTGGAGGAACACGGGCTCAAACTGGAGGAACACGGGCTCAAACTGGGGGAACACGGGCTCAAACTGGGGGGAACACGGGCTCAAACTGGAGGAACACGGGCTCAAACTGTGGGGAACACGGGCTCAAACTGGGGGGAACACGGGCTCAAACTGGGGGGAACACGGGCTCAAACTGGGGGAACACGGGCTCAAACTGGGGGAACACGGGCTCAAACTGGGGGAACACGAGGAACACTGGCTCAAACTGGAGGAACACGGGCTCAAACTGGGGGGAACACGGGCTCAAACTGGGGGAACACGGGCTCAAACTGGGGGAACACGGGCTCAAACTGGGGGAACACGGGCTCAAACTGGGGGAACACGGGTTTAAACTGGGGGAACACGGGTTTAAACTGGGGGAACACGGGCTCAAACTGGGGGGAACACGGGCTCAAACTGGGGGAACACGGGTTTAAACTGGGGGAACACGGGCTCAAACTGGGGGGAACACGGGCTCAAACTGGGGGGAACACGGGCTCAAACTGGGGGAACACGGGCTCAAACTGGAGGGAACACGGGCTCAAACTGGGGGAACACGGGCTCAAACTGGAGGAACACGGGCTCAAACTGGGGGGAACACGGGCTCAAACTGGAGGAACACGGGCTCAAACTGGAGGAACACGGGCTCAAACTGGGGGGAACACGGGCTCAAACTGGGGGAACACGGGCTCAAACTGGGGGAACACGGCTCAAACTGGGGGAACACGGGCTCAAACTGGGGGAACACGGGCTCAAACTGGGGGGAACACGGGCTCAAACTGGAGGAACACGGGCTCAAACTGTGGGGAACACGGGCTCAAACTGGGGGGAACACGGGCTCAAACTGGGGGGAACACGGGCTCAAACTGGGGGAACACGGGCTCAAACTGGAGGAACACGGGCTCAAACTGGAGGAACACGGGCTCAAACTGGAGGAACACGGGCTCAAACTGGGGAAACACGGGCTCAAACTGGGGGAACACGGCTCAAACTGGGGGGAACACGGGCTCAAACTGGGGGAACACGGGCTCAAACTGGGGGGAACACGGGCTCAAACTGGAGGAACACGGGCTCAAACTGTGGGGAACACGGGCTCAAACTGGGGGGAACACGGGCTCAAACTGGGGGGAACACGGGCTCAAACTGGGGGAACACGGGCTCAAACTGGGGGAACACGAGGAACACTGGCTCAAACTGGAGGAACACGGGCTCAAACTGGGGGGAACACGGGCTCAAACTGGGGGAACACGGGCTCAAACTGGGGAACACGGGCTCAAACTGGGGGAACACGGGCTCAAACTGGGGGAACACGGGCTCAAACTGGGGGAACACGGGTTTAAACTGGGGGAACACGGGCTCAAACTGGGGGGAACACGGGCTCAAACTGGGGGAACACGGGCTCAAACTGGAGGAACACGGGCTCAAACTGGGGGAACACGGGCTCAAACTGGAGGGAACACGGGCTCAAACTGGAGGAACACGGGCTCAAACTGGAGGAACACGGGCTCAAACTGGGGGAACACGGCTCAAACTGGGGGGAACACGGGCTCAAACTGGAGGAACACTGGCTCAAACTGGGGGAACACAGGCTCAAACTGGGGGGAACAGGGGCTCAAACTGGAGGAACACGGGCTCAAACTGGGGGAACACGGGCTCAAACTGGGGGAACACGGGCTCAAACTGGGGGGAACACGGGCTCAAACTGGGGGAACACGGGCTCAAACTGGAGGAACACGGGCTCAAACTGGGGGAACACGGCTCAAACTGGGGGGAACACGGGCTCAAACTGGAGGAACACGGGCTCAAACTGGGGGAACACGGGCTCAAACTGGGGGAACACGGCTCAAACTGGGGGAACACGGCTCAAACTGGGGGAACACGGCTCAAACTGGGGGGAACACGGGCTCAAACTGGAGGAACACGGGCTCAAACTGGAGGAAAACTGGCTCAAACTGGGGGAACACGGGCTCAAACTGGGGGGAACACGGGCTCAAACTGGGGGAACACGGGCTCAAACTGGGGGAACACGGGCTCAAACTGGGGGAACACGGACTCAAACTGGGGAAAACGGGCTCAAACTGGGGGGAACACGGGCTCAAACTGGGGGGAACATGGGCTCAAACTGGAGGAACACGGGCTCAAACAGGGGGAACACGGGCTCAAACTGGGGGAACACGGGCTCAAACTGGGGGAACACGGGCTCAAACTGGGGGGAACACGGGCTCAAACTGGGGGAACACGGGCTCAAACTGGAGAAACACGGGCTCAAACTGGAGGAACACGGGCTCAAACTGGAGGAACACGGGCTCAAACTGTGGGGAACACGGGCTCAAACTGGGGGGAACACGGGCTCAAACTGGGGGGAACACGGGCTCAAACTGGAGGAACACGGGCTCAAACTGGGGGAACACGGCCTCAAACTGGAGGAACACGGGCTCAAACTGTGGGGAACACGGGCTCAAACTGGGGGGAACACGGGCTCAAACTGGAGGAACACGGGCTCAAACTGGGGGGAACACGGGCTCAAACTGGAGGAACACGGGCTCAAACTGGAGGAACACGGGCTCAAACTGGAGGAACACGGGCTCAAACTGGGGGACACGGGCTCAAACTGGAGGGAACACAGGCTCAAACTGGGGGGGAACACAGGCTCAAACTGGGGGGAACACGGGCTCAAACTGGGGGGAACACGGCCTCAAACTGGAGAGAACGAGGGCTCAAACTGGGGGAACACGGACTCAAACTGGAGGAACGCGGGCTCAAACTGGGGGGAACGCGGGCTCAAACTGGGGGGAACGCGGGCTCAAACTGGGGGGAACGCGGGCTCAAACTGGGGGAACGCGGGCTCAAGCTGGGGGGAACGAGGACTCAAACTGGGGGGAACACGGGCTCAAACTGGGGGAACACGGGCTCAAACTGGGGGAACACGGGCTCAAACTGGGGGAACACGGGCTCAAACTGGGGGGAACGCGGGCTCAAACTGGGGGGAACGCGGGCTCAAACTGGGGGAACACGGGCTCAAACTGGGGGAACACGGGCTTAAACTGGGGGGAACGCGGGCTCAAACTGGGGGGAACGCGGCCTCAAACTGGAGGAACACACACATATGCTTAACTAGAGGAACACGGCCTCAAACTGGAGGAACACGGGCTCAAACTGGAGGAACACGGGCTCAAACTGGAGGAACACGGGCTCAAACTGGGGGAACACGGGCTCAAACTGGGGGAACACGGGCTCAAACTGGGGGAACACGGGCTCAAACTGGGGGAACACACACATATGCTCAACTAGAGGAACACAGCTCAAACTGGAGCATTCACTGTAAGTGCTTAAACTGAAGAAGTAGGTCAAACACAGTCCCTACTGACACACACACTTCTAGAAGGGCAGACAGCATCAGTGTGTGACGAGAGCGGGGTCATGTGATCATGAGGACGAGCTGTGATGAAGGACACGTTTGAAGCACGTGTTAGTATTTATACTTACACCCTAATCACATTAACATGAGTGTGACGTGCATTAATTAGAAAGGACTTTAATGAAGCGGATTAAACCGTGGGATTTAATATGACGGCACGTTTGCTGGCGGTGTGACTGTATGATCTGCACTGACCGAAACTACAACATCACTTTACTGTCAGTGAAGCCGACTGCTTAAATGGATAGTTCATAAACCTGAACATTACAACATGATTCAGGTATATGACAAACACAATCAGAGTTATATTAACATAACCTGGTTCTTCCCAGCTTTATAGTGGCAGTGAATGGGGGATGAGATTGTGGAGCCCTGAAAAGCACATCCCTCCATCATAAAAGTAATCCATACGACTCCAGGGGTTAATAAAGGCCTTCTGAAGCCAAACCACGCAAAACAATATCCATATCAATATCCAGAATCATTATTGTGTTAAATTCATCTAGAATCCGAATAACCCTGTTCTCTGATGATGTGGGCGGGGCTTTAACCTGTCAATCACATGAGATTCACCAATAGCAAACCACAGCCATCCAATTAATTCCTCAAACAAGCACCGGCGCCCAATGGATAGAATGGTTGCCCTTACCAATGAATTCAGCTGAATATTTTTGAAAAAACACACTGAAAAGAAAGAAATCACAATGAAAAAAAAAAAAAAAACAGTAGAGACGCCCATGTAAAGCGTGTCTGTATACAGACAGACCAACAACTGAAAAAATAGCAAACACGTAGCGTTTTCCACTTTTAGCGCAATTACATTAAAAACGCGGCGCTATACGCGTCGAACGTGCGGCTGTCGTATGTGTTTATGACACTAATAATTAATATACAACAAAAGCAGGACTCGAGACCGCGTCCTGGGTGAACGCAACGCGACGCGACGCCCATCATCTGACGCACACACATGGCTGTAGACATGTAAAGAGACCGCCAGCGCTAAATGAGCGCATGAACGCACGCGTTCCTCACCGTCCTGACGCGCGTGGCTGCCGCGGCTGCAGTTGCTGCATATGTGCTTAATCTCCTTGCCGATGTGGCAGTGGATCATGAAGGGCATGTTGTTGTTGTGGTGCTGGTGCTGGTTCTGGTTCTGCTTCTCCTTCCTGTAGTTCAGAGTCATCATCTTGGCCAGGCTGAAGCCCTTGTTCTTCGGCTTCTCCATTCCCGCGGGCGCGTTGCTGCCCCAGACGCCGTGCAGGACTGTAGGATCCACCACAGACATGATGAGGATGAGTATGATGGAGGAGATGATGATGGTGGTGGAGATGAGCGCGCATCTGAGCAGCGCTGGGCACGCGCTCGACTCGCGCACCGTGCGCCCCCTATAGACACTCAGTGGAACTGCAGTGCAGGAGTGTGTCTCAAATCACAAACACTGCTGCAGTGATGATGATGAGTATCACACAGACACACACACACACACACACATTCCGACAGAAGGTTACCAGCTGGACGATGTGTTTGCTTCCACACACACACACACACACAGACTCCAACTGTTTCTGCATGATGTGCTGTACTGTATCCCACAGTGCTCAATGTACTTGACCTGACCTTCCCTTCCCAGTGTGTGAGGGATATTTTACACAAAACTGCTGAATAATCTGAACCATTTTTGAATTGCACTTATGTAATGAGCTCATGTGGCATCAATGCTGCATACTGCTGTGTTTGAGACATAAGTACATCCTGTTTTATTAGTATTGAGACATCTAAAATGCAAAACTAAGAAATAATTATGTTGTCCGTGTCAAACCTCCCCTGAATCATTATTAGACATAATACATTCATTTGAATGTTAAACTGTCAGTTTTTAGCTGGAATGGTTCTTTCTTGATTGGATGTTGAGATGTGGGCGGTTCTCTGAGGAGTTTATGCAGATGAGCGTCAGCTTGAGGGGGCGGGGCTTAAGACAATCCTGCATGCATACGTCACTGATGCTTTTCCAGTAATGATTGAACAATAACAGGTGAAAAAAACACACAAGCCAAATATACGTCAGAACCCTGGGCCTATATAGTTTGACTGGGATGACACATTCACGTCATAGCATATTGTTTAAGTGAGGAACAGACACAAATTGTTATTGAATTACACTGAAAATGACGGATCCTCCACTGCTCTGAATGTGTCGTTTAACGGTGGATCTCGAGGTGTGGTCAGAGACACACCGGTACTGAAGAGCTGCTAAACGCCACATAAGCACATCCTCACCTAATAACATCAGCCCATCTGTGACTCAACCGGTCCGGCAGAGCAGTGAAGACATGATTCAGCGCTGAGTCACGGCCTGGATCATCTACACCCGCTCTTCAGGACGTCACTGCCCCCCCACACACACACACACCAGACCAGACCAGAGATCCATCACACAGGAGATTACACACAATGTGGTTCACATCTCAGAGACGGCTGCACTAGATGCACCATATCTTGGCCTGCTAAGGAGATTTGGCCGATATATTAAAGCTGACACACTTCAGATGCGCACTGTTTACCATGATGGGTTTGAATTGCTTGAAATATGATTGGAATCACTTAAAAAAAAGGAAAAATACGTCTGTCATATCGACTACATAAAGTTATAATGAGAACATCATTCAAATTGTGCGTTTGGGACATGGATTGTAATAGTGTGACTTTTGTTTTTGTAATCAGGCTCGCAAAAAATATATACAAATTTGGATTTAGATTTATCAGCAAATATATCGGTTATCGGCTTCCAGAGTTTAAAAATTATCGGTTATCGGTATCTGCCGATAAATGTTTATTTTTAATGTTCATTATCGGCCCGATAAGAAAATGTGTCCGATATATTAAAGTCGATAATGTATTATTTCCTCCAGCTGAGACGCTTCAGATGCGCACTGTTCACCATGATGGGTTTGAATTGCTTGAAATATGATTGGAATCACTTAAAAAAAGGGAAATACGTCTGTCATATCGACTACATAAAGTTATAATGAGAACATCATTAAAATTGTGTGTTTGGGACATGGATTGTAATAGTGCGACTTTCGTCTTTGTAATCAGGCTCGCAAAAAATATATACAAATTTGGATTTAGATTTATCAGCAAATATATCGGTTATCAGCTTCCAGAGTTAAAGAATTATCGGTTATCGGTATCTGCCGATAAATGTTTATTTTTAATGTTCATTATCGGCCTGATAAGAAAATTTGTCCGATATATTAAAGTGATAAGTAATGTATTATTTCCTCCAGCTGAGATGCTTTAGATGCGCACTGTTCACAAACCATGATGGGTTTCAATTGCTTGAAATATGACTTAAATCACTTTAGATAAGGAAAATACAGTGAAGGTCAACATGTCTGTCATATCGGCTTCATTTAATTAGTGGTCGACTGATATTGTTTTTTTGATGGCCGATGCCGATATAGGTGAGGCTAATTGTGGCCGATGGCCCATTTAAAGCTGATATATTTTAGATTTATTCATTTTAGCTGACGCTTTTATCCAAAGCGACTTACAATTGCTATATGTCAGAGGTCGCACACCTCTGGAGCAACTAGGGGTTAAGTGTCTTCTTGCTCAGGGACACATTGGTGTCTCACAGTGGATTCGAAACCGGGTCTCTCACACCAAAGGCATGTGTTCATCCACTGTGCCATCGACACCCCATATATACTTTATATTTATTTTAATCAATATTTAATAAATTAGAAAACAAATCCTTAAAATAATCATCCTTTAGAAGGCAACATCTTGAATCTGCAATCCTATTTTTCACAAATAAACTAGTATTTTTTACAAATAAACACAAATAAACCAGTATTTTTCACAAATAAACTAGCCCAATTCTTTAAAAATATATGAATATGTGAGTAGGTGAATAAGTAAACACTGTAATCTGGTAATATCGTGCGCACTGGTGATCATATTTGTTCAAATAAAGACACGGTAAGGCTAATTTTACATACAGCACACAGTAAAACTATATGAATATGACACAGTGGGACACTGGTACAGCACAGCATATTTTAAAATGAAGGATTTTCGATGGCGTCTCTTGTGAAGCTGATCTTCTGTTCGCATTCACTCGCTTCCCACAGACCGGCCGTCACTCACACTACACACACACACTTCACACGATATCACAGCTGGAGTCCATTAAATCTGCAAGGTTTGTGAAATGAAATGTTTATTAGATATTCAAAGATGTTTAAATGATGATGTGCATTTGCTGACAGCTGATGGTACATGAGAAAGTATCTTAGCCTGATTGTTTGCCTTTTCAAATAATATGTCACAAATAATATCAAAGCAAAAGCTTTACTTTTTCACATAGCATTTACTTTCTTTGTTTACCCGTTCTGTCTAACAAACTATTCGCCATGACTGACAGAGATGGTAAACTAATGAAGATGGACAATGTGAGTGAGCGCTGTGAGATCAGGCGCCCGTCAAAATAAAAGTCCCGCTTCCAACACATCGGCCAATCAGAAAAACGTATCGGTCAATACCGATATTTTAAAAATGCCAAATATCGGCCGATATATCGGTCGACCACATCTTTATAATTGTGTTTGGCACATGGCTTCTAATGGGGAGAATTTAATTTTTGTAATCAGGCTCTCAAAAATGATATAAAAAATTCGATTTAGTATTATCAGCCAATATATCGGTTATCGGTATCTGCCAAAATATTTATTTCAGTGCTTACCTAACATTGAATCAGTGTTTCTTCAGCAGCCTTCTTTACTGCTACGTTTATAAAAGTTAAATCACAATAAATCTCATTATGAATGTAAACGTATTCATTAAGGGAATGAAATTTAAAAGTATCTTAGCCTGAATTTTTGCCTTTTCAAATAATATGTCACAAATAATTTAAAAGCAAAAACTTTACTTTTTCACATACCATTTACTTTCTTTGTTTACCATTTCTGTCTGACAAACTATTCGCCATGACTGACGGAGACGGTAAACTAATGAAGATGGAGAATGTGAGTGAGCGCTGTGAGATCAGGCGCCCGTCAAAATAAAAGTCCTGCTTCCAACACATCGGCCAATCAGAAAAACGTATCGGTCAATACCGATATTTTAAAAATGCCAAGTATCGGCCGATATATCGGTCGACCACATCATTATAATTGTGTTTGGGACATGGCTTCTAATGGGGAGAATTTAATTTTTGTAATCAGGCTCTCAAAAATGAGCTAAAAATTAGATTTAGTATTATCAGCCAATATATCGGTTATCGGTATCTGCCAAAATATTTATTTCAGTGCTTCCCTAACATTGAATCAGTGTTTCTTCAGCAGCCTTCTTTACTGCTACGTTTATAAAAGTTAAATCACAATAAATCTCATTATGAATGTAAACGTATTCATTAAGGGAATGAAATTTAAAAGTATCTTAGCCTGAATTTTTGCCTTTTCAAATAATATGTCACAAATAATTTAAAAGCAAAAACTTTACTTTTTCACATACCATTTACTTTCTTTGTTTACCAGTTCTGTCTAACAAACTATTCGCCTTGACTGATGGAGATGGTAAACTAATGAAGATGGAGAATGTGAGTGAGCACTGTGAGATCAGGCGCCCGTCAAAATAAAAGTCCTGCTTCCAACACATCGGCCAATCAAAAAAACATATCGGTTAATACCGATATTTTAAAAATGCCAAATATCGGCCGATATATCGGTCGACCACTGAGAACATCATTATAATTGTGTTTGGGACATGGCTTCTAATAGGGAGAATTTAATTTTTGTAATCAGGCTCTCAAAAATGATATAAAAAATTCGATTTAGTATTATCAGCCAATATATCGGTTATCGGTATCTGCCAAAATATTTATTTCAGTGCTTCCCTAACATTGAATCAGTGTTTCTTCAGCAGCCTTCTTTACGTTTATGAAAGTTAAATCACAATAAATCTCATTATGAATGTAAAGGTAGTCATTAAGGGAATGAAATTTAAAAGTATCTTAGCCTGATTTTTTGTCTTTTTCAAATAATATGTCAAATAATTACTTTTTCACATACCATTTACTTTCTTTGTTTACCATTTCTGTCTGACAAACTATTCGCCATGACTGACGGAGATGGTAAACTAATGAAGATGGAGAATGTGAGTGAGCGCTGTGAGATCAGGCGCCCGTCAAAATAAAAGTCCCGCTTCCAATACATCGGCCAATCAGAAAAACATATCGGTTAATACCGATATTTTAAAAATGCCAAATATCGGCCGATATATCGGTCGACCACATCATTATAATTGTGTTTGGGACATGGCTTCTAATGGGGAGAGTTTAATTTTTGAAATCAGGCTCTCAAAAA